TCTTCAAAGGTGAAATTGTGACTTCTCTAGCTTCATCTTCTTTCCATCACTAGATCTTCTTCTTCTTTAGGTTCTTTGATTCTTGTTCTTCAAATTCTGTACTGTAACTTGATGGGTGAAGGTGAAACCATTTTTGTTGAAAGTGAAATCGTGGATTTTTGGCTATGGACAGTATCACCAGTGGCCTGAGTTCTGCAAGACGATGGGTTGAATTATTATTTTTTTGGGAAGAGAGTATTTTTGTCTTTTAATATTTTAATATATCAATAATAAATAAAAATAATTTATCAATTCCATTGATGTACCAAACACATTTTTAAATCTTATATCCATATTCATTTAAATATCCATCTTTATATCCATTTCTATTTTCATATCCATAAAAATCATTTCCAATGTGCCAAATGTGGCATAAAGAGTTGCCAATGAGTGCTAACACTCTTGAAATTAGGGTTGAGCAAAAGTTTTCTAATCTTACACAACTCGATCCAACCCGGACAAATCCAACATAGTCCACTCATGTAAAACATTTGACCAGAAGGATTAAAAATATTAATGAGATTGAATTTAATCTTCAAGTTAGATTGAATTAGGAACTAAATTTTCAAACTACTTGATCTGGTTCGATCTTATAAAATTATTATAATTATGTCGTGATAAAATCAATTAATTTGTCATGATTAGCTTTTAATGTTTTGTGATAAATTTTATATCATTATAAATATTTTTGTTATCTTAATTAAGCTTATAAGATCGAAATAAATTATTATCTTTCATGGAGGGATAAAAAAGCAAAGTGAAGGATTGGATTATAATGACCAGTTTCCCAATAATACGAATAAAGTCTAATTTTGTTTAATTTCATATTAAGCCTGAATCAAACTAAATTATGAGTTGTTTAATTTAATCTTTTTTTATATAGATTGAAGTCATGTCTAATCTGTATTTTGTGCTGCTGTACTTGAAAGCACAATTATTAAGATCTTTAAAGGTTCAAGCGTCAACTCTCATATTTTAAGTTGAACATTTTTCGAGCTTGTCCCTTACCGACAAGACTCAAGAATGGACGCGAAAACTTGCTTTTCTTTTATTATTTTTGTTTAATTAAATTTATAACTATACTAATACACAATTTAATAAATTGTGTCGTTGTATATATTAATTCAAAAATTAAAATAAACTAAACAATTTTAACTACTTTGTTTTGCCATATGAACAATTTGGAATTAAATCCTCTAAATTAGGACTGGTGAATTTAGGTGAAATTTTTTTAAGAAAAAATTTTATATTTTTTTAAAAAATAATAAAATGAGAGAAATTTTTTTTTTAAAAAAATTTACCTAAATTCATAGAACTTTAGAGAATTTAAATCAGATTTCAACCAAACAATTTTACAATAATTTGAACTACAAGCAGACGGTAAAAAAGGAGGAAAACACTGGATCTAAAAGATTAGCTGGGGCTTAGCTGGGGCCCGCGCGAGCTTGTTTTCAAAGACTTATATTATAACAAGGGCCTGAGTCTAAAACCACTATAATTTTATGTAAAAATGGTTCATTTTTTTAAGTCCGGCCTTAAAAAAAAATATAGGGGATGTAAAGGGGTTGTTGGAATTCACAGCACCACGTGCAGGAAAGGACTCGGAGAGTGAAAGAGTGAGAGAGATGAGTGTACGTGAATAATATAAATATGTAGAGGAAGAAGCAAAGAGAGATGTAGCTTAGAGTAGTGAGAATGGCAATAGTAACACTAAACAATGGGTTCGAGATGCCCATAATTGGTCTGGGCGTGTGGCGCATGCAACGTCACGACATCAGAAATCTTATCGTAAAGGTCGCTTATCGCCACTTTGATTGTGCTGTTCTCTCTCTCTCTCTCTCTCTCTCTCATTCTCATCATATTCATCATTTTCAATTCATGTGTGTGCGTGTGTGTGTGTGGAGGTAAATTGACAAGATTTGAATTGAATGTGTTTATTGCATGGAGCACATTACAAGAACGAAGCAGAAGTTGGAGAGGCAGTACTTGCAGAGGCTTTTCAAACTGGCTTCGTAAAGAGGGAAGAAGTTTTCATTACCACCAAGGTTCGTAGTTAATTCTCTATCAAATCCTACACTGTCTTGTGATCTGTTTGACCCTTGAGAGAACATGTATGTAACTGTAGCTAACTTGTGTTGCAGTGGTGGAATTCTGGCCATGGACACGTAGCTGAGGCGTGTAAAGACAATCTGAAGAAGCTCAAGCTAGACTACCTTGATTTATATCTTGTTCGCTTCCCTGTTGCCCCTCCCCGTACCGGTCTCTCTCCCCATTCCCCACCCCACTCAGTATATTATAATATAAAAATCTGGGTGAATCATTAAATCAATGTCTTGATCGATTTAACAAAATATTTTTATTTATAATCAGTTTAATCACGGCTTTAACTATTGACCCTGGAATTATAGAATCTGGATCCTCTCTTTTTCCTTCCTCGATCTCCTTTTCTTCTCCTCATCCTCTCCTTACACTTGGATTAAAAATTGAATGGTTAAGATTTAATATTTTATAAAACCACCATAGTAAAAACAAACAAACAAATAAATAGATCCAAACTATTACAATCGGATCTGAGCAATTCACAACTGCAAAGTATAATTAAAATAAATGAAATGAATTTGAGTAAATCTCAACCGTTGAGTTTTTAATCTAAGAGTGAAGATGGGATGAGGAAGAGGAAAGGAGAGTAAGGATGATCAGAATATCCAAATCCTAAATCATGTGTCTTTAAGTAGTTTGATGATTAAGTATTCTGCATATCTTGTCTACACTTTTTCTGGCGTACATATTAATTAGTACAATTTTTTTCACTTTGCACGCTAATCTCTCTCCATTTCTCATGTGTTTCATATATGCGTCTAATGTGGATACAAATATTGTACGTACAAATACATGCAGTAGTTGGGACAACAAAAGTGCATGTGCTGGGTGGGGATGGGATCCTGGAAATAGACACAAGCATATCCCTGGAAACTGCCTGGCGTGCTATGGAACAACTTGTTTCCTTGGGCTTGGTTCGAAGCATAGGCATTAGGTACATATAGATATGCATTCCAAATTAATGAAAATACTTATAGATTATTTAAGTGTGAGTAAATTTAAACTGATATAATAAGTCTTACGTTGGATAAATTAAATTTAATAACTAGTATCTAATAAAAAAAAAAAGAACCCATAAACTTAAATAATGAGATTTTAAATTAAAATTACATGTGGTATCTTCTGACATTTGCATAATAAGTTGGATGTGATTTCCCCCGTTATTCTTGCTCAGTTTCTCCTAATTCCTAAGAATGCTCAATCTTGGAGATATATATATATATATATATATATTTGATTATTATATAATGACTTGCAGCAACTATGATATCTTCCTGACCCGAGATTGCCTAGCATACGCTAAGAAAAAACCTGCGGTGAATCAGATAGAAATTTGTCCATACTTTCAGAGAGATTCTCTGCTCAAATTCTGCCGCAAGCAAGGGATTTGTGTCACGGCCCACACTCCTCCGGGAGGTGCTGCTGGAAACGCTGAGTTTTTTGGCTTTGTTTCCTGTTTGGATGATCAACTTCTCAGGGTGAGTCAAATTTAAGTGATAACTAATGTGTTTGATTAGTTATAAAACTCAACGCATATGTTGCAGGATCTGGCTGAGAAGTACAACAAGAACGCTGCTCAGATTGTTGTTCTGTGGGGGATTCAGAGGAATACGGTGGTGATTCTGAAGACGTCGAAAGTGGAGAGGTTGAAGGAGAATATATTGAGGTCATTGATTTCGAGCTGTCTGAACAGGACATGGAGCTCATCAAGAGAATGGACAGGAAATACAGAACCAATGAACCTGCCAAGACTTGGGGTATTTGATGTTTATGCCTGGGATATGACACTTCTATCCTCAATATCTAAACAATTGGCATTCCAATCTGGGATTATGCCTTCATTTGCATGCTACTCTCTGTGTCTGTCTCTACTGTACTTCTGTCTGTCCGTGTTGTTCAATCTTCTGCAAGACTATATTTTGTCGCTTCATCTTTTTTTTTTTTTTAATTAAAAAGGAAGGCACTAATAACATGAGATTACAAGTAAACCCCGCGAACTCTCACTTATAAAAAAGTTTTCATATCATTAGGCCGCTTCATCTTTTTAATTACTTCTTTTCCCATCCATTGGCGGGAGTGTCTCCACTCCCCCCACCATTGGCCCTCCATTTTTTTTAAATAATATAATTTAAATTATTAAAATAATACATAAAATAATAAAAAACAACATCTAAAAAAAAGCACCATCATCTTGCACGTGGTTTAAAAATAATAATGTCTTAATATGACTTGTAAGATATATTAATATTCTAATATATGGTGAAAAATAAAGCATAAATCTCTAACAAGCCTAAATCAAGCAAGTGGAAAAAAAAAAAGTTGGGCTAAAATATGTTTTTGGTTTTTTAACTTTAAATAAAGATTCAATGTGTTCCTTTAATCTTACAAAATATCTTTTTAATCTTTTAATCCTAACATTATTAGTACAAATAATTTTTTTGTGCCAATATTATATCAACATTTGATAATATTTTGTCAGTATTAAAAAGTTTAATGTAAATTTTTGGTTGTGATGAAACTAATGGTGTTAATATTAAAAAATTAAAAAAATATTTTATAAAATTAAAAAATTAAAATAAAATTTTATATAAAATTAAAGAATTAAATATACCTTAGCCAAAAATTTGTTATGGAAACACTTTTTATCTTTCTTTCTTCCTTTTTTTTAAATGATTCTGCCTCCATTAAAAATTAAGAAGCAATTTATTCGACACATATACACGCGTTCGGGTCCAGAACGACCACTTGGGAAAGAGGCCCAAAGGCCTAGCAAGCCCTTAGAAAACCAAGGCCGACAAACTCAGTCCAAAAATCATGAAAACAAAATAAAACAGCAGACACGAACATTTGGTAAACTTCAACGAGGATCAAACTCATCTTCCAACCCTTCGCTCTCCAGCCAAATCTCCGTTTCAATCCACATCGGTGGCTCCCTCCAGATCTGACTCTTCAACTACAGGTCAAATCTATGGTTTTAGTTAGCTAGATTTATATAATATATTATTAGTGATTATACTGAATAAGATTGTTTTTTGGCTCAAGATTTGTATGTTGGGACAAAGACAAAGTCTAACGAAGGTGGCTCCAATTCTCCAGCCAAATAGTAAGTTGGTTCAATTTAGTAAGAGTCATGAAATCTGTAATTATAATCCAATATAATACCCGTTAGATTCATGATATGAAAATTTGGGTCAACCTTTCATGTTAAACCAATAAATCATCAAACTAGTATCTTAACTTGTTTAAAATACTTTGTTTATAATGATTTAGTCACAATTTGACTACAATTTTGATTGTTAATCCTTAAACCATGTCTTGACTAATTTAGTGGCTAGTCTAATTTTCAATATCTTAATTAGACCAAATTGCTAAGCCAGTTTGGTTATCTGAATTTATATTTTATTTTTGAGCTTAATCGAATCACTTGGAATAAACCTGATTAAAATTCAAACCCGTTAAAGTGAGTCTGGCCCACGTTATATTACTGGCTCTATAATTAAAGGTATTAAAAAAACATGAATGGGTTTTATACAGAAGAAAACATGGAAATTCTTAAAACCCAAGAAAATCACATAAAGGATGGAATACTTTGACTTTATGAGTTAAGGGTGTATAGTTGGTAACTCTGAAAGGTATTGGTAATGACTTTGAAAAGTACAAACAAATTCAGTCCTGTGAAAAAAATGGTTTTTAATGTCAATTTATGGAATGGTCAGGCCATAATAATATCTATTTGTTATTAAAGAAAGATATGTTTCAAAGAAACAGTGACCCCAAGCATTGACCAAAATTTTGTTTCTTGACTTGCCATCCGACCACCAGCAGACTGAGATGGCTTGCTTCTCACTCAAGCTAACATCTCGCTTGAGCATGCGTCATCAGAATGTTTTGAAGCTGCTTCTGGAGCTGTGCTTTAATTTGGTAATTCGAAGTCAGCCTTCTATCCAAATTTTCCTTTGCAGCTACAAGTTCTGACTTTCTCATTTCAGCAGCAGATATCTCTGAATCACATGAATTTCTATTGTTTCTCTTGAGTTCCAGGAAAGATGACCTCAGCTGGAAAAGTAAAAGAGAGAGTGACATGAGAATTGAGAAGCTTGCTGGAGTAAGAATTAGCAGCGAATCCCCAAGAATCGCCACATTCACTCTCAAAATTTTCACATTGTTGCTCATCTCATGAAAGTTTTATTGAAAAGGGAAGACTCCGTCTGGTTTTTTGTTTTTTGTTTTTTTAAAATTATTACAAAGTAATATAACTTAAACAACTTTAAGCTTTGTTTACCAGCCAACTGCATAGGACCACATTTCAAGCATGGGATATGCTCCGCGGGAAAGGTGATTCCCAGCATGATTCAGTCTAGGCCATTTATAATGCGTTTAAAACTACGACAGAGTTAGCAGTTTCAAACTATTAATGACGTGAAACAAAAAATTACGGTCTATGCCAGGGGGGAGAAACAAAACAGACTTTTTAGCTGGCTGAAGGTCAGAAAGCCCAAATTTCAACTAAATTAAAATCACAAAAAAGCATGCCACCGCTTGACAGTGCATTATGCATAATATCCTGGTAATAAAAGATTAATTAGACAACTCAACACAATCTTTGGAAAGGGTTAAGAAAATTAAAAACAAAGCAGAGCAAGATAAAAAATAAAAAAGGCAATGAATTAAGGATCCACCATAGTTTCATTGTATATTGTCAGGTTAGAAAAATAATTGTTCAGTTTACTGAACAAGAGTCCTTATAACTTTGGGTATAATAAATGTAAGATAACTTCAATTCTGCACATAGACATAAAATCACCCAGACACTATTGAAAGCTTTCACACATGCAATACTCTCATGCACGCGTGGGGGGACGTACACACATATGAAACAGACATTACAGAGGTCTAAAAATTTGCAGCCATCTTTAGCTTGAGAGAGGAAGACAGGCAGATTTTGCGGAGAGACACTCTGGAGTAGAGAGCCAGCTAGACTTAAGCAAGTTATGGAAGCTAAATGTTAGTGAATTTTATTGATCTAACGGGTCTACAATTTGTAGCATAACAACATCCATATTCCCTTCTACTTTCAGTTATATAATATTATGCAAAATAAATATCCAGTTTTATTTAAATTATTGGTCAAGGACTCAACATCTAAGTTGAAGCCATGTGTTGTGCTACGAAGCATTTCCCGGTGAAAAGCATATATTGTTTTGTGGGAATTAGAATTGAAGTCAAATTTCATTATCCTGCATAATGGGCTATTTATAAACTGATGGCTTACCTGAGCAGTGAGCACAGTTCCCTAACTGTCATGAATAGTAATAAGAATTTTTTCTAAGTGGTGATTTCCATTTACCTCATTTACCCTCTGTCTCTTATTCTGAAGTTCTGTTCGGCATTCCACCACAAATCTCTCCGTATGGTCCTTGAATTCCTTCATTTCTATCCTCTTCGTTTCATAAAAGCTATCCTTGTTCTTCTCCAACTCCTCAAGCTCCTCTATTTCACTATGCAAAGACCTGAAATATATCTAACTCTAATCAAATAATCATACTCAGACAATACAAACACACATCAATGCACTTGAATTCACCTCTTTTCAAGAGCTCCAGCTTCCAATCTCGATTCAAGGTTCTCAATTTCGGACTCGAGAGCCAGAATCTTGGAGTTCCTCAGTGCTACTTTACTATCGAGCTGGAAGCACCTCAGTTCCATGGACCTGATATTTGCTAGCCTCGAAGCAAGAACCTGCGACTTCTTGGCATGCAACTCCTTCTCGGCCTGCAGAAAAATATATTTATTCAAAATTTCCATAGAGAAAAGCCTAGACTTATGGTTGTTTGTCTTCCATGCTTATATTCAGGTAAAACTTTTCAGAAATTTTCCGTCGGATTTACTAATAAAAACAAAAACCGGTGAAACTTTTCTTCAAAATATCTGAGTTTTTTCCTCTTCGAAAATGAAAAGGAAACAAGATTAATATACATAGAAAGAAAATGGACCCAAAACTTGCGCCGGAAAACTTAAATCTACGCCTAACTCTCGTCTGACAGGAAAAAAAGTGAGATAATTAATCTTTAGTATCGTTCTCTCGGTGGATTTTCTTGGCAACCAAGCAGCAAAAGATTTCACATGGTTCATCAGGGGAGATACAGCAGAAAAATTATTAAGAATCGAGACATGCATGTTTCTTGTCTGAGTTAAAAAAAAAAAATTAGGGATAGGGGTTGAAAAGAACTTGAAGCAGATCTAGAAGTTGGTTTCTAGTGTTCTCCATGTGTTGAAGTCGTTCGTGGAATGCGGAGGGAAGCTCCATTGTTGAGAGGAGAGAACCTTCGAAGTGCGATCACAGCTTTGGGCAATGGATTATGAAGTTTGAAAATGAAGCATGAACGATGTGATAACCAATTTTCTGTAAATTTTATACTATATATATGCTGGCAAAAAATGATGTTATGAATATTGAATAATGGGATAATAGGTATTCTTAGAAACTATTACTTGAATAGTTATTCTAATCTTAAAATAAATATTTTAATTCTAAATTATTACCAAATAACAATTACCCCTGACATTACTTTATATATAACAATTATTATTTTTGACTTTGTGCAGTTCAATCAAAAGTTAACATTGCACGTTGCCTGTCAACTAAACTACATAATGGTCAACATTTTTATGAGTAAGAGGTAAGGATAATTTGTTTAGAATTTACAAATTTAAAAGAATTTTTATTTATTTTAAGAGTTTATAATTTATAATACTATTTGAATAATAATTTAAAATTTAAAATGCTTATTAATTTAATTTAAAAAAATATATTATGTATAACTATTGAGTATTATAATTTTAAGAATATTACTCTTTATTTTAATATTATTTTTAAGGGAGTGTAATTTGGAATGAGAAAATTTTTACCTTAAATGAATAAAATAAGTTGATGAATAAAAAGATTGGATGAAAAAGTTTTCAAATTCTATTTTTTTTTCCTTTTTATTTTGTATTGAGTCTGCCAATGGCCCAAACTGACCTAATTGGACATTGCATTATCTCAGGCTAGGCCGAGCCATGGATTGCATTTGATGTTTTAAAAGTAAATCAATCATAAAACGAATAATCATTAATTATAATTTATTGATTTCATTTAATTAAATTATTAATATAATTCAGTCATTCTATCCAGATGAAATAATCGTGTTCATTTATATCTATAAAAACTTAATCAGAAGTTAATGTTGTGTTGTTGTGTGGACAAACGTCTTTCTAAGAAAAAAAGTACATAAAACAATTAATTCCCTTGGGTTTTACAAGAGTCAGTACTCATCAGTAACCTAAATATTTGGGTTTAAAAGTCCAAGAATAGAAAATCATATCATCTCATCACTAATAAATTTAAGAAAAAATGGCATCCAAAAACTTATGAAAAAAATTATTCATAGATAATAATTAATATAGAATTGGTTATTGTTTCGTTCAAATAAAAAAGAATTAGTTATTATTAAAATGTAAACATAGATTTATTTTTTTTAAATAGTTATTGTAATTTATTATTACTCTTTATATGTGAATAACTTTTTTCATATATTTTTTATTGCGATTGTCCCAAAAACTTATGGCCCAGTGATATTAGGCTCATCTTTGTACATGGCAGGTTGATCTTGCAGTTTTTTTCTAGTTTGTTTCTTTGCTGAAGGAAATCTTACCTAATGTTTTCAGAATTGAATCGAATATTAAATTAAAAAAGTCAGCAGTTTACAATTCACATGATTTAATCGAATTGGATCAATGATCAAACCGATGATGTAATAATTAAATTAAAAAAATTATATATATATATATAATAATCTAAATATAAGAAATACATATGAAATTGTTACTTAACTTAAAAAAATCACATATTATAAGTTTATTATGACTTAACAAGTTACATGATATAACATAATATCAAATGTGTAAAAAATTAGTCATTTTTAAAAAATTTGATAAAAAATAAAAAAAGCTTTTTTTAACAGTCCGGTTTTTGAAAACTGAATCCGGTTCCTGATTTGATTTCGGTTTCTGATCCGGTTCGAAATGGCCCAACTTAACTCAACTCCTAAAATAATTTTTTTCATAAGAACCAAATCAAAATTCAAACTGGTCAATGATTGGACTGGTCTGACCATTCAGTCCGATTCGATTTTAAAAACACTGATCTTATCCCAGCACTTGGAGGTAATGTTGAAACTTCGCTGAGCCACACAGGCCTATTGAAACTTGAGAAAACCAAGTTATACAAAATGAATTTTCTGTTTAGAGAGACATGCGCGCGCACATAAATTGTGTGCGTGTTGGCTGTGTTACTCATCTTGTATTTTAAGAAAATAATGGAATAAGGTATGATAAATATAAATAAAGAAAATAAAATTTACATATAACAACATTTTTTGGCACACATTAATTATTTATATGGCTGTAAAAAAATTAATTTACAAGTCATGATACTTGTTGCAAATTTTACGGTGTATGTAGGATCTAAAATTACATCTTGAATGAATAATCAAGACAAGAATGAGCCTGTTTGTCAACCTACTATGGGATTAATTTTCTGCTCTTCATAACAAAATAAAAAATAAAAAAATTTATTTGATAATGTATTTTCAAAAAGTATATTGGAGAACAAAAAGGTAAAATATTGTTCTGAGAAATAGAAAAATAAAAACATCTTTTTGGCATTTTGGGATTATTGTTCTACAAAACAAAGGAGAATAAGAAAAATACATGTTTTTATTATTTTTTTATTTTTAAAACATATTTTATAAAACACTAATTCTCAAAATAATAAAACAAAAACAATTTCAAACAGGCCCAACATTTATGTCCTAAATCCTAATGCCAAGTAAGAAATTAAAACCTTTATCTTGCTTGACTCTCATATTCTCATACCCCAACTTCCCAGATAAATATTGCTAAATGTGAATCTTAAGTGTCATTTATATATTCCTTTGCTTCATATTCTTATCAATCTAGTTTTTTTTTTCCCAAATCAACATTTGAGTAGCAATATTTTATATTCCCTTTGTTAAAAAATATAATACATTTTTTAAAATATGGATATTCAAATATTACAAGATATTTTTAGTATTTAAAAGTGTAATAATTGTGTTTTCTCCATAAGTTTGTATAATAAATAAAACACTTATATTTATTTTAAAATAAAACACCCTATTAAATAAGGACAAATATAAAAATATGATGTTAATTTAAAGAAAATTAACTACTCTATTAAATGTGAGATTTAGTTAAAATGCATTGCAAGTTTTCATTTTCATTTTAGCTTCATCTCAAAGTTTGGAAAAACATAATTTTATGTCCTTATACTTTACTGATATTTTATTATTGGTTACTGTACTTTTTTTATGTAGTTTAAATTTCTATACTTTTGCTTTTTATTATTTTAGGGTCAAAGTTATGTTTTCCCTCAAAGTTTCTGTCCTCTTTCTCGTCAACCAGACCCTATACCTCATAATTCTTGCTATAAGGACGCACAACCTTATTCGGATTTGGTTGAGGAAAGAATTTTAATGAAATGAAGATAGGTTGGGTAAAAAACATATTTGGTACGTGTGGTAATAGAAATAAGACATTTTATTGTGTAATGTCTAATGAAACAGCAAAATAGAAAGGATAAGAAATAGTTTAAAGCAGAAAGATTGAACTGCCCCTCTCGATTAAATCATAAAATAGCTTAGCATTAGCAGAGGTATTATTGATCTTCTACAGTGACTCTGTAGTACACACTAATTTTCCTTCCTTCTAGCCAGCTGTAGAAACCAATTGTGTACAGAAAACTATGATAAAAAGATTGTTTGGTTTCTGTTTTCATTTTTTATTTTTAAAAACTGTTTTATAATATAGTTTTTAAAATTATTTTTAAAATAAAATAAAATAAAATTTTTTTAGTTATATCAATTAAAAAACAGTTTTAGAATTAAAAAATGGACTAATAATGATAGTTATAGGTAGTTGATGGTAGTGAATAACAATATAAATTGATTAAGATAATTATAATTTTAAATAATCAAATTTAATGTATTTTAAAAACAAGAAAAATAAAACAAAAACAACTTAAAGTTGTTTTTTTTTTACTTTTTTAAAAAAATGACAACAATTTTGAAAACAATTAAATAAAAAACATTCATCTAAATAAATTTTTAAATTTTTTATTTAAAAAATATCAATTTTTAAAAATAGAAAACCAACAGAGCATGATAAGTAATAACTTTACCATGTATCAAACGGGACTGTTTTTCTTCCATTTATATTAAAATCCTTAGGCTTATTTGGATACCTCGTAACAATTAATCATGGAGTCTAAAACCAAGGTCATGGTCAAAAAAGGAAAAAACACTCAAATATCCACAATTTTTTTCAACTCTGTCTGGCTTCCAAAATTCTGTTTGGATAAAATGACAGTAAGTTCTATTTGAGAATTAATTGTAACTAGAATGTCTATTTTATAATTTTGGCCTCCATTTTATTTATTAATAGAGTAAAATATACTGATTTTTTTTAATTTTTAAAATTTATATAAAATTTTCTTGAATTCAAAATCTACTTAACACATACCTCCCCTCTATTTTAAAGATTTCTTTTTCATCAATCCAACTATTAACTAACTGTTAAATTATGTATTTTGGACTAGATAACCCCATTTTAACATAAAATTCAAGTTTTCAAACAATAATTATAACATATAAGGTGACAAAAATAGTCTTAAATATAAATAAACTCATTTATATAATAATTTTAAATTTTAAATATATAAGTTGACAAAAATAATATTTCAAGCATGTACTATTACAAAATTAATAAATTAGAAAATTGCTTGGCAAAAAAATTATTAGGAATTTAATGTGACGAGAGATAAATTAATTAATATATTTTTATTTATTTTATTAATTTAAATATAATTTATATTTATTAATTTTAATAATTTCTAAAATGTTTATGAAAATAAAAACATAATATTATTTAAAATTAGAGGAGAGATAATACATTAGATTAAAAGGGTAGATTAATAATTTTAAATTTTTTAACATATTTTAATTAATATAATAAAGCATTATTTATAATTTTAAGCAGAATATCCCTAGCAGCATTAAGAAATGGACTAAAGTTAAAGTATAAGATCACGTTTTGTTACTAGAAATGAATGGAATGAAATGAATTGAAAATATCAAGACAAAAATGAATTAAATTATCCTTCTCTCATATTAAATATGATAAAACTCATTAATATATATTACAAATGTGAGAATTATCACCCTTTCAAAAATTTCATAAATTATTATTCTCAACCCCATAAACTAAATTACCTCTCCTTATTATGAATGTGC